GGAGGTAAAGGGGATGAGTAGGTTGTTTGGTATTCAAAATTTGTTTTCCTTAGAAATAACTCTATAAATACCTTGGTGAGTGTTAAACTATTAAAATGCCACCATTTTTAACTTTGATGGAGTTACCTATGGATGCTATTCATAGGAGGATAGGACATAATAGTAATAGCCTTTTATTTCTTTTATTCTTTAAAACCTGTTTTAAATTAGTATTGATCCAAGAAGAATCACTATTTCTATTAAAAGGGCAGTGCTATTAAAGTTCATCATTTTAAATAATGCACTGATGTAATATTTCAGAAGTGGTCAGGCAGTCATGATACACCAAGTCAGGATACTAACTACCAGTTAGGATCTTAGGGAGCAAAAACCTCTTCCCAGGACTTGAATTTCAAAGAATAATTTGGCCATGCCAAGGAGAAACATTCAGCCAGGGAGCAATGTGAGTCTGTGCCATGGTGCTTCAGGAGTGCTCCATGGCTCACTTAACCAGGATAATGTATAGGATGAATAGATGTCACCAAGGCCACAATGATGCAGGCTCAGGCCATTTTTCAGCCACATGTAGATATTTTTATTCTCAGTATCCTTTCTGTAGAATAAAAATATCTCTCTGGTTGGTGTCAATTGATATTGATATGTAATTTTTTTACACGATGAATATGAAAGTAAAAATGTTAAAGAGGTTCTCACCAAAAGGGGCATGATGCACAAGCTAATCTCTGTTCTCAACAAGCAAATCCTGAGTGCTACACAAGACAATGCAACCTGTGTCCCCTAGACAGCTGCAAAGATGATGGCCATGGGGGCACTGGTTCCAAGCTGGTGCTTAGATATTCTTGAGGCCTTGGAACTTCAATCAAGTCTTTGGAACTATGAATAAATCAAGCACTGTGTAAATTAAACCACAACAGGACTGAAATTCTGCAAATTTGATTTCTTCTAACCTAAGTTGGCATATTTCAGAGTGAGACTGTATTCATGTTTGTAGAAGGTGTGCACAGTGCAACAGAGACTAGCATATATGGGAAAACCAAATAGTCTTCAAAGACACTGTCCACTTTTATATAGTTGTTGCAACCTCAGAGTCATTCTCAGGCCTGTTATGATACAGGAAACATAATATCACTTTTTTGTTTGTTTGTTTGTTTGAGTCAGAGTCTGGCTTCATCACCCAGGATGGAGTGCAGAGGCATGCTCACAGCCACCCCAGCACTGACCTGCTGGTCTTAGGTGACCCTTCCACCTCAGTCTTCCAAGTAGCGAGAGCTACAGGTGTGTGCTACCACACCCGGATGAGTAGCACTTTCAGTTATAGGATTTCCTCTATTCACTCACTTAATATATATGGAGTGCTAACAGTGTATGTCAGACATTGTTCTAGATACACATATAGGAGCAAAACAAATAGATAAAAAATATTGCTGTCAAAGAGCTTAGCTTTCAATAGAAATGCTGTTTGAAGTACTCTATGGTATGTCAACTATTTAACATGTTCAGATCAATTTGATGAAGCCTCATCAGGGTACAAGCAAAGATGAGTCCATCGTGGCTCTGTCCTCTAGGAATTCACAGTGTAGGTGGGTAAGTAGATACGTGCTGTCGAGAGTTAAAATGCAGTCAGACAATAATAGAGGTGGATATTGACACAGCTCAGAGTAAAGTGTAACTAACTTCAGGAACAGATGGTATCAGGGAGAGAGGTTATTAGGCTTGAGATGGTCAGACACCTTCTCCTAGCAAGTGACCCTGTCTGGTGAATTCCTCATTAACCTTTAAAACACTCATAACTTGAAGTTTAAAGGTGAAAGTGGTGAGACTGAGATAGTATTTATGCTGGGGCCTATATTCATTTATTCCTTAGTCCTTGAATATTTTCCTACCTCTTCCTAATTGATGACAAAAATGAAGAATAGAGTTGATCAATAGGGAGACCATTAGCATAATGAAGTAACACCCATGATAAAAGTTAATATAATAGAAACATTTATTTCTAAGAGCTTTATCTCTAGAGGTATTGAGGGGCAGTCACATGGCAAAACTAGCTATTAGGGCTGATATAGATTTCACATTCAGTGAGTTGACCATAGCTTTGTTCAAGGTTTCTGTGCATTTTCTAAAAAGACTGTATGAGGAGCTAATTAGTCTTTCAAATGAATTCTTTCAAGGTAATAATAGCAATGAAATTATAGCATCTCTATCTGTGCATGCTTTCATGAATTCCCTCATGTGGCTGGATCCATAGAATACTGTATTGCTGGAAGGAATGTTCTGAGTTCATCCTCTCCCAGTGCAAATTTTACCAGCATTTCTGGAAATATAACACAAACAGCTAACATTTCTATACTATTTACTAAGTCTTTGACACTATTATAAGTAGTTTTGATTATTAGCTCATTAAATTTTCACAGCCCAGTGAGGCATGACCCATTATCATCTCCATTTCACAGTGTGAAGAGGTGAAGCCACTTGCCGAGGGCTTCACAACTGGAAAATGTCAGAGCCAGGATTCAAACTCAAACAGTCTGGCTACAGAGTTTTATTCTTATCTACTACAGTGGACTGCTTCTGAAATACAGAATGAACACTCTTACTATGAGCTGATTTGGAGAACTTTGAATATCAGAAATTATGATGAAGCCATATGTCAGATGCTTGTTATATCCTTGCATACTAAGTCCAAATTCCATATCCAATGATTAGGTCACCATAGCCTTCAACTTCCATTTAGCTCCCACAGAACCACTGATCCCAGAGACCTTTTAAAATTATTATTGGTTTTTTTTTTAGTCAGGTGTCTCACTCGGCCACCTAGGTTAGGGTACAGTGGTGCAATCATAGTTCACTGCAACCTCTAACTCTTGGGCTTGAGCAATCCTTCCATCTCAGCCTCCCAAGTAGCTAAGACCACAGGCATGCACCACCATGCCCAGCTAATTTATTATTATTATTATTATTTGTAGAGATGGGGTCTCACTATGTTGCCCAAACTTATCATCAACTCTTGGCATCAAGTGATCCTCCTGCCTCAGCCTCCCAGGGTACGAGATTGCAGGCATGAGCCACTGCGCCTGGCCCATTCCCTTCTTAAACTATGTTCTCCTTTTCCCTGAGTCCTAGCCCTCTAACTTTAACTGACTCTAGGAACCATTCTTCATTCATTCATTTAGCTAGTCCAGTCAGTCAGTCAGTCAGTAGATCAGTGAGCAAATGTTTATTGACTATCTTTGTGCCAGGGGCTACTCTAAAAGCCAGAGTTACAAGTGTATTCCATACAAACATAAAACCTACTAAAACCATATCAACTCATAAATATGATATTTACAAATTGTTATGGTTTGCAGAAAGGAAACAGCAGGTTGATGCAGTAATGAGTAATTAATGGAGAACATTTTAGATGAGTGGTCAGAGAAGGCTTCTAGGAGGAGGTGACATGAGCCAAGAGCTCCAAGATAAGGATCTGGTCATGCAAATAGCCTGGGGAAGAAGATTCCAAATAAAAGTAACTGCTTGTGTAAAGTTCCTAGTAGACAAGGGCTTTAGCACATTCGAGAAACTCACACCAGACCAATGTGGCTAGTGTAAAGTGAGGGAAGAGAGTGACTGGAGGTGAAGGTGGTGTCAGTGGTACAGATTGTACCAGGTTTTATGGGCCATGATAGAGTTTTCAGTGCATGGAGATTCACTGAGAAGAAGGCAGGAGAATGACATAGACATTTTGGTGTTTGACGAGCACTTCAGCTGCTTCTAGGAGAATGAATTATAGAGGAAGAACATCACTTAGAAGATTACTACCCTAACTCGGGTTAAGGATGATGGGGGCTTAGATTAGGGGATTGAGTATGGGTATGTCCTCTCTTGAGGACAGAGTGAAGATTTGTCTTGGAAGCATACTTCAAGGATCTTGCTGATGGGTCTCATGAGGGAGTTGTGAGAAAATAAGAGGAAAAAAGAAACAGAGTCACTGACTGAGGTTTGTGGATCCGATATTTTGTACATTAACCTCTCTGCCCCATGCATATAAGCATGTACAGAGAAGATCAATTCTCCAAGACTAGAAAATCTCAATTAACTAGAACTTGTCCAACACAGGAATATCCAACAAGGATTAACCATTTATGTAACCAAACGGACAGCAAATGCGTCATCAGACATACACCATTTCGATTAAACCAACTCTCAGTTCCCAAGAAAAGGTGTTTCCTAAGGCTGTGGGATTTGGTGTGTTCTTGCAGGGACAGCAGGTGAAGATAAATGAGCAGGAACCCGAGGTTTGCACCCTGGGAAATAGCCAAGATTTAGAGATAGAAGAAAGTATTCTCTATACCACTGACCAGAATGCTCTTTCTCTACTGAAAAGGTGAAAATAGCCAGTACATTGCAGAACGTCAGCTCAATTCTACAGGTAGAAAGACATTTATTCCATCACTTCTTTCATTCTTCTCTCCCTGTAGTCCTTTTCTGTCTCATCTGGACTTAAATTCTGAGCAGGTCTTTCCAGAACCTCGTCCTGATATGGGCTCTCAGATAACACAATAATTGAATGGGCTCTGCTCTCTCTGTGGGACACAGAACCTCTTACCCAAGTGCAGAGAAGAACTGGAAATCATCTTCCCTCACTACATTTCTTTTGTTTGTTTTTGAGAACACTAAATTCTGTTGTACTGCACAGAAAAAAATCTAGCAAATTGCTTCTGCAGAAAGACATTCTGTGGAAACCAGCCCGTGAGCATTCAGTGTTTAGCAAGCAGAGCTAGAATTGGAGAGAACACTGTCAGAGTCACTTAAAGGTGTACTCCCTGGTGCCTGGCTCCATCCAAGTGAGCCAGGGTCTTTAGAATGCAACCTGTATTAATTTCATTAATTTATAAAGAGCACCTACTAACCAATAAACATTGCTTAACATAAAATAGAAATGAGTCAAGAAT